GCGGTGCTGGCCGCGGCGTGGAAGAGGGTTTTCAACAAGTGCGGCCGGCTGCCGAGGCCCCTCGCGTGCTTCGGTATTATTTATAGTCTTTTAAAGAAGCGCCGCTAATGTAGGCCTTTTAAAACAGCCGTCTCTCCTACCTTTCATCTTCAAAAGGGTTTTAAAGCCAGTCATTCAAATTTATTATTTTTTGTCCCGAAGGCAGCTCGCACCCGAAACCTGCTGCTAATAAATTTCAGCGCCGCAATATACGTCTCCACCATACGCTCTGAAAACGCTGCTCCAGAAATAGCTCAGAGGAGGAGGAGGAGGAGGAGGAGGAAGAAGGGGAGAGGGAAAGAGCGCGCGACAATTGTCTCTTTTTTCCCCCATCTCGGATGAGGCAAGTTTCTATTCACTTGTTTTGAGGTGTGGTTTCGACGCAAAGCGTATTTCCCCGTAGACACAGGACGCTGAGCCAAGCTCCCGCGTGTTTCACTGAAGCAGGAGAAAAAGGAGGGATGCCGACCTTCTGTGCAACACCAAAGGGCTCACGTCGGACGGGAAAAGTACAGCACGTAGCGAAGCCTTGGAAAAAACCCAAACTTTCCACCTTTCTCCTGGCCCTGCCACCTCTGCGCTCCCGGTTTGCGGGGAGAGAGTCTGTGAATCCGCGGAAATGTTGGCAACCTCCCCCTCCCCGCATTTATCCCCTATCGTTTACAGACAGGGCTCTTCTTTTAAACGTAAAAAAGCACTTTTCTGGTCAGCCTGGCAAAACTCCCCTTTGCCTTCCAGTCCGTAGCAAGTAGGATCTCTCAGAGCCTGCATACAGAAAGGTAATTACTGAACCAGGAAAGAAAGAGTTCAGCATAACATTTCTTTACACAAACTGTCTGTTTAGCAGCTTGATGCTTGTTATTACTAACGTAGATCCGGCTACTCCTGTCAGCGTAGCATTTAAAGTCATGCAGGCTAATTTCCGTCCAACACTAACACGTATTTGCATTTATACAATATGCGACTTCAGTGTCCTTTTTGGAAGACTCATCGCTGGCATTTCTTTCCCTGTTCTAGCCTAGAAACAGGTGTTTTAACCAACAGATTTTAAAATCGTGTTTTGTTTTTGTGTGAATGTCCTCTACATAGCCCTAGTTTAGGGTTATGCTTCAAACTATGTTTTTTGAATGCCTTTCATGTACCCTATTTCAACCCAGTTCGGCTTTGAACCTCTGAAATGACCCTCTGAAATGACAAGTTTAGTATAAACTGCTCTGTAACAGCTTTAAAAATGCAAAACTAGTAATACTGCACTATGCTGTTGGGAAATTAATTTAGCTGTAATTCTTTGAGGTCAGGCACAATATAGGGCTAGGCAGCATCTGATGTAGAGCATATACTAGTAACTTTCAGACATTTATGTAAATTGTATGGCTGTAGTAACTGAAATGTTTCTGAGACTTGCATACTTTAATTATACACTTTACCTCCATCTGATTAAATGAATGATAAACAGATAATTTCAAAATTGTTTTTTTGTTTTGCTTTGTTTTATATATGTACATTTATAAAGGGCCTGCTCTGGCAAACGCTTTCGTAGGTTAATTAGAACGGTATCGCTGAGTAAAGCTCTGTGTATACTTAAACATTTTCAGAAGCAGCTCTGAGTGTGTTTTAATTTTTTAAAAAGGATGTAATTAGGTCTGAACTGCAGGTAAATAAATCCAATCCCATCGCCATGTTTTTGTGCTAATGATAGGCCCGGTCCTACAGTCTTTTGTCAAGCAACAGTCAATGGAAGACTACTAGAGACTATATAATTTTTAAAGGGTGTTTTTTTATTTTGGCATTTCTACTGTCACTAACAATTAACAGGCAAGTCAGATCGACTCCTGCTCCTGCTCAGGTTCGCTGCTTATCTGACCTACACGACCTACACAGTGGTGCACTATTTAGCTTACAGATAGTCTAAATGCATATCTATATCCAGACAGAAAAATTATTTGATAGCCCATTTTAAGAATTTCTATTGTTACTAGATTTTATACTTCTTTGAACAAATCATTTTTATTTACAAATTTAAAGCCAGTAATAAGCTGCCAGCTAACATCATCTCCTAAATTAAATTGAAACGAGAGTTTGTTCAGAATTAATAATCAGAAAAAAAATACAAGTTTACAGTTATAATCATTTTGGAACGTTTCTGTTTCTTCACTGATTTTGCAGATAGAGTTAGAAGTGAGTTTACACCTTAACAGACAAATTTGCAGCAGAAAACCAGGTACGCTCTTTTAAACCCAGCACAGTTCTGTTTGTGTAAGACATTCGTCAGACGCGTTCAGGAGTTACGGTAAGTGATTGTTCCTCTGCAACACAGTTCCCTGAGCATCTTATAAAAATGCCAACTCAAGCTCTTTAGTTACTGTCCCACAGAGCAAAGAAGGAGAAATGAAATGTTGAGCGGTAAGCACCTAGAGCTGGGTTTGTGAAAGACACCTTTCAGCGTCTTTGGTCACTGATAAGAGAAGCGCAACGCTCTGTGCTCGAAGAGCATTACCAGGTTCAATGAAAAAGGGTTAAACTTTCTGAAACTATGTAAATGCTGCAGGTTCTGAGCGGGCAAGGATCCAGGCTTTCTGAATGAGTGTAGACTCAATTACTTTGAACTCTCTTGTTCTGTGCATTCCTCTTCGCTTAGTAGTGCTATACCCATTAGGGGAGACAGGAGAAAACAAG